CCAATCAGCAAAGAGATCAATGTGGCAGAGGGCACAGAGGTCAAAGGTAATGTCACTCACCCTGTGGCATTCTGAGGTCAGATCTCAATGCCTCGTTTTATGCAGTGGGCAGGCCCACGCTGAATCTGTATCCAGAGAAATCGCCGCTGATGGAATTTGGAACGCTGGCTATTCCCAGAGTTCCCCTTGAGGGTTTGTTTATTAAATATTTGGGATAATATGATAATGCTTTCAGTTGCCAATTAGAATGTACTAGACTCTCTGCTCTGATTAAAGAGAACTCCACTATAGCTCTTAAATGCATATTTATTTATAAACATTTATTAAGAGGATATTGAAATGTGAATTACAAGATCATTATTGTGCAGCGTTATAGATACGATAAATACACTATATTTGAATATACAGTAACGTTCAAAAGATCCAAAAAATGTATGTTTCAAATCAGCAAGCATGCATTAAACGACAGTAAAGACATTTATAATACGATTTTTATTTCAAATAAACTGTTCTTTTGAACTTTAAATTCATCAAAGAATCCTGAAAAGAAATTATCAGTTACCATGAATTATATTAACCTTCAAATGGTCTTCGTTTCCTGTTTACACTTCTGGGCTTCAACAAATGATTGAGTAATTGTACAAAAAAATATACATTTTAATCATACAAATATTATATCTTTTTTTGTTTACTTCTCATCTATTCATTAATGCTGTGTTTTTGGAGATATAAAGTACTTTTGTATCCATATACCACACAATACCTCAACTACACCATTAGCTTGCATATGAAATGTTATTTTTTTATGATACATTGCATTTATGCTCTAGTACAAGGCCTTCATTTCGGTGTAAAAATGTTCAGATTTATGCCGGATTTTTATTTTTTATTTTTTTGACGCATTAAGAAAATATATTTCGTTTTTTTTTTTCTTCTCACATTTCCCAATCATTTTAATGTGGCGTCATATTGACCCCGAAGACCAGAAGTGTAAACATTTTTTTTTTTTACATACCTTCAGAATAACCGAATCAAGCCCAGTTTTTTGTGCGTCTATAGATAGATGTAATCTTACTCCACTGAGATGAAACGAATTTGGGTCGTATAGACCCCATGACCCGATTGAGGGCTATGAAGCACAACTGTTTTCAGCATTGATAATCATAAATATTTCTTGATCATTAAATCAGCATATTTCTGAAGGATCATGTGACACTGAAGAGTGAAAACTGGAGTAATGATGCTGAAAATTCAGCTTTTATCACAGGAATAAGTGATTAAAATCAGAAGAAATGTATTTTAAATTGTAATAATATTTTACAATACATTTCTGAACGGTAGTGTATGCAAAATGTGAACGATCTTTGAAAGCAGTGACAGAGGAATGAGCTTAATTAATAACCTTTTGCTATTTTTAGAGATTAACAGCCCCTTAATCACTTTCGTTGTATGAAAAAAAAGAGTAGAGAGAACATTCTGCAGATTTTTTTTTTTTTTTTACATCCACAGATTCAGCCTAAACTCTCAAATAAAAACCACAAAAACCCATGGTACTTTGCTCTTGTTGTGATGTTTCTTTTCCTTGAGCACTTTGCCTATCCACTTACACCGTACATAACCCTATATTTATCTCTGGGATATTTTCAAATAATACAGCGCTCCTGCAGAGCAGTGCCATGGTTATTTTCAGGAAACCCTGGCTGTAGAAAAGAATTCAATCTGGCTCAGCTTTAAAAAAAAAAAAAAAAACAGCTTTCAATTATGACATTCACAAGATTGCACACCTGTCCTTGGAAAGAGCTGATGAAACGTCTCTAGCTCTTTCTGTTTTTCCCCTCACCATCTTTCTACCTTCGGTCTCTTTCACAAAAAGGTGATGGACTGCCCAGTGACATCGCTTTTTTTTTTTTTTTTAGCTCTACTCTCTCTCTGGTGAGATGGAGTGTGGAAGAGTAGTATGATTTATCACCAGCTGAAGGCTGAGGATGGCGTCACTCTAAGAAGTGTGTGTGTGTGTGCGTCACTCCGTCAGGTCCATCTGTACAGTGAGTTAGTATACGGACAGTTTCTGTGTGTGTTTGTGCGAGCGCACGTGTAAAACCAGGCGCGCAAAACAGCTTATCATCTGAGAACAATTCTCAGATGGCGCAGCCCCTGCTGACTGAGGTTAAATCCATTTTACCCCCCACACACATATGTGCTAACATTAGTCAGACTCACACACACACATAGTCCACCCATGTTCCATATATCAGAATTTTACACACATAAGATCAAGCCAACACATCCAAACCCACACAACTCCCCCTTTTTTTGTTCACACACACATTGGTGATTTGTAGCTGTTATGTGCACTTGTGGGCCCATTGCCTCAGCGAGATGTCCCGCTGTGGTGTCACACCGCACTGATAATGGCGAGGTCAAAGGTCGAGTGTGAGCGAGAGGGTGTGGGGGAGGGGCACTCGAGCACTTTGGCAAATTGGCTAATGTCCCGAGGGAGAGGGGCGGGGCAGGGTGACACGGAGACATGACATCATAGAATCCCCCTGAGAGGAGGCGGGAGGAGAAGGTGAGGAAAGAGACATGCCACCTGGAATGACCAGCGCACTGCTTACTGTGCACTATACATTATTTTTTTGTGATGAGTGCTAAAGTGAAGCATCACTATTGCTCATATGTAGTAGGGTTAAAAATGGTTAGAAAAGCAATAGTGCCCGTCCACTTTTTCAGCGGCCTTGGTTCACATAGTGATTTATTTTTCACATGGAGATTTTTAAAGCTCTTTATTTAAGAGTTATAAGCCATGAACCAAAACAACCAGCAATGAGGTAAATCACAACATTACAAACTTTGATTTGAAGCATTAAAGCATTTGAAAATTGGACAAAAAGACAAATCTATAAAACATTTTTGTCATATTTTTGTTAGTGAATGCTGCACAATCGCGAACATAAATGGAAAACTTAAGGCAATTTTCTCAATGTTTCGTTTTTTCGCACCCTCAGATTCTAGATTTTCAAATAGTCGTATCTTGGTCAAATATTGTCCTATCCCAACAAACCATACATCAATGGAAAGCTCATCTATTCAGCTTTTAGATGATGTATAGATCACAATTTCAGAACATTTACCCATGTGACTGGTTTTGTGGTCCAGGGCATCCCAGCAAACACAGAACATTCCCCTAACCTTCCCGAATGGTCCCATGAGGTTATTTTTTGGGGAACCAAACAAAAACGTTATAGGAACGTTTTTATAACGTAAGGAGAATATTCCAGGAACGTTCCCTTAATCTTAAGGGAAAGTTCTAGGAACGTGCTGGGAACCAAAAACTAACGTTCCCAGAACCTAAATTTGTTTGCTGGGTCGGTTCCCAACAGGGAGGTCACGGCTAACAAGGGTGGGGGGGGGGGCTGAGCATTAAATAAAAGTCCTTATTCTGTTCAAAATTTATATAATGAGCGAGTTCATCATGAATCCATCAGTGCGTCGATCCGTGTTTTTGTCTTATCCTGAACCACTATGATACATCTACATTGGGACTATTTTACACTGGTTCGGATCGGAGTAGCCCAGTACCTGCGTGAATCGTCATGGACGTACAATGTTCTTCCGAAAGACACATTATTCTTTTAACAAACACAAGTTTATTATCGCTCACTATAGCGCCAAAAGCATAAAAAATAAAGCCTCACAAATAACTTGCAAGTATTGAGACCCCAGACAGCAGTCATTTAATAATAGCTCATATTTTTTCTTTTTTTTTACCTACACACCTGTGTGTGAATACTTTTGTTTTTGCATTTCAAATAGGGCCAATAGATAGGCTTCTCCTAGGCTTACGTTTTTAAATTACAAAGGGCCTACTGATATTTTTGTTATTGTATATTTAATATTATTGGCTATTATTTGTGCATAAAATCTGGTTATAGTAAACATGCCGTTTGTTTGAAAACAACATATTCTGCAAGCTTACAGGAGTGATAATATCATTAAATGTGAAGGGGAGCCTTAAAATATTTTCTTATGAAAAAGGGGGTCTCAGACACCACTGGTCCAGGGTATATATATAAGGTAAATCTTTACAAACAATAACTAGAAAGAATACATTTTATTTTTATTATTATGCATTGCATACAAATATTTAAGTATTTTTAGAGCATAGGGAAACTAACTCTAGGTCATTCGCAGTGCTTCATGTGAGTGGATGAGCGCTAAAGTGTTATTTTGGTGCAGTTTTCTTGTTTAATTCTCTGATTGGTGGAGATTTCTCTGCATAATCATGGAGTATATAGTTTTTCACCACGAATTCTGCTGTTAAACATGATTATTTAACAATCAAGTTTAAATAATGCAAGCTGATGGCTTCAACAAAAGCATATACCACCGATTAACAACCTCATAGCTCATGGTAAGCCTGTCTTTAAAGGTTTATACGTTCAAAATCAATTCTCCTATGGCGAAAATTAATGGGATAATTCCGGAACGGGTTTGCATTGTATAAAAACGCCCTGCTCAACAATCCACATGATTTGAGCTCATGTCTGCAGCACAAAATGCAGTGGTAGGGTTCAGATCGAACTCCGTGTATAGTAGTAATACTATAAAAAGTGCCTTTGCAAGTGCCACCAATAAATATATCTTGCTTTAGTTAACTCTGTTTGTGTGTGTGATTCTGGGGCTCAGGTGGGTTCTGCCCTAATGAGCCAATTGAGGCCATCATGATGCATGCCCTGATTTCAGCCAGGAATACCAACACAATTTGGCCCAGAGGACAGATGAAGAACACACACACACAGACACACACACACAGTCTTGTGAGGTTTCTAACCTCAGCTAATGCAAAAAGGGGTCGAGATTATGAAAGCGAAGACAGAAAATGTAGAAAGAGAGAGGGGGACAGATAAAAAGAGAAAGAGGTTGATGGAGTGGAGAGGGCCAGAGGCTGAGAGAGAAACTATCATCAGCCTGTACACCGTTTCAGCTTTCTGTGCTTAATGGACTCAGTGGGCAGAAAAGACAGTAGAGATGAACAGAGAGAGAGTTACAGAAAGTATGACGCATTAATGGCTCATATTAATAACACAGTAGGACCAAACAAAATCATTTTGGCTTATCTCTAACTAACCACTCTCTTACCACAGTGACCAGGCGTTTTTGTTTCCCGGGGCAATCCTTGTTTTTTTGGTCCCCGTCTGAAGCTGTCCGCTTGTGTCTACAGCCTGAAAAGTGAAATTAGACTTAATGAGCTAGATATTGCAAACAAAACATTGGGCCTATAATAACACTGCATGCATACAATGTGTCATTTCAACTTTTCTTACAATCAACAAAACTCACTGAGAACAGAAGACAACTAAAAACAAAATATTCTGTATACTATATAGCTATTTTGTAAATAAAGGCCCCATTGTACACTCATTCATACCATTTTTAGTGGTTGTGAAGTAATTACTTATTCAAATTAAGAACCTACTCAAGAGAGCATGTGATTTCGGATACAGCCAATTTGTAATTGTTTATTTGAGATGAATCTTTTCAATGAATTGATTAAACCAGATCTCAAAACTTAATGATCTGAATTAAACCACACATATCAGACTGAACGAGTCGCTGACCGGTTCTTCAGTTAACAACTCACTGAACCAACTTTACTAAACCAAAACCTGCCTCTTTTGGGCATGTCACAATGAGTTTGTGACCGATAAATAACCTAATATTTAAAGTGCACAGATTTTTTACTGAAAATTAAGTTGTATTCATAGCCGAAGAGATTGGCATGAACTGGGATGTATAAAATTAGCGCTGTCAAATCGATTAATCGCAATTAATCGCATCTAAAAAACATTTTGTTTATACACACACATATGTGTGTGTGTGCTGTGTATAATTATTTTGTATATATAAATACACACACATGCATGTATATATATATATATATATAAGAAAATGTGTAATTCATAAATAAAATAATTATATTAATATATAATAGATTAGAAAATCTAATAGATAATGAATTTATATATATATATTTATACAGTATTTGTGTGCAAATAATTAAATATATACATGCATGCATATGTATTTATTTTTACAAAAAAATTATACACAGCACACACAAATATATTATGTAAACAAACTTTTATTTTGGATGCGATAAATCGCTTATGTTAGATACAATAAATTGAGATAAATCCATTTGACAGCACTAAATATTACACTAAACAGCCTATGTAATGTCTTGTATGTCATTGACGTAAACATTTTTTTTAACCGGTTCTTTGAAACAGACCGTTTGAAATATCCGATTTAGGGCCTACATTTCTCATTATTGGCTTTGATGTCTTTGCAATAGTATATCACAGTATGATTTACCATTAATCCTTACAGTACTCCATTTACAATGGTCAAAATACACAAAACCAGGATTGTTCCCCTACCTCCAATTATTTAAATTAATAAATCATTAGAAATGCAAAATAGATGTCTGAACAAGAAATGTCCCTGGTTTTCATTTCAGAAATCTGGTCACCTTAGAGTGTGAGAGTTTTAAAGTCCAATTCAATTGTATTGCTGCACTGAATGGGAAAAATGGGTCAATATCCAACCGTATAGTTTCATTAGCTACTGAAAACAGGTCTTATGTTTACGCCTCTGAGCTCAGGGTCTCCAACATCCCATTTCTTAATCTGTCTCTCCTCTCTTTTGGTCTCGATATGACCTCCCTTTCTCTCAACAGCTGTTGTTGTGTAGCTCTCCCTCAAACTCCCTGCGGGCAAGAGAAGTGAATGCAACAAACTCAACCCACACCACAAGGCCGGGCGCCCAGGTCCGCTGTGGTGCTGTCTGACCGACACATCAATGTGATTACAGGCAGCATACATCAGTGAGGTTCTCCCCAACAAAACCCAGCCACTTACCCTCACACATTCACCTCACATTCTTCTTTCGCCCCGGGCGTTCCTCAGCCCTTCGCTGAATAAGATGAGCTCATCAATTAAATGCAACAGAGATATTGATTCAAGTGAATGGTGTTATAACCGTGGAGACGCCCGAGGACATCATATTATGCCGATGCGTTCATTAATATTAGCTGTAGAACACAGACAGCAGGTTCTCCGGTGGAGTGTTCAGAAATTCAGCATGGATCTGTTGGTCTGATACTGCTGACGAATACACTTGCAGCTCAGTTGCGCAAACTGTGAAAATTTTGCTATTCAGGGATTCATATTAATTAGACATCATTTGGCTAGATCTGAAATTCAGGATTGTTTTGAACAATTACTCTCTGATTGGCGTATTTGGCAGGTTTCATGAATAAAAGAACCATGCAAGATGTCATCCAGGCTCTGTGCGCATGCGCAAAACACAACACTTCTCTGACAACTCTGAAGTATTTTACGGTTTAGCGAATTTGTGACTCAATGGTTAGGTTTAGGGGTGGACCTTCATGCTTATGATTTTTATAAAAATCAGAACTTTTCAAACACGTCGTATAAATTTATATCAAATCACTTCGTAAAACGAAGGAGTAGTTCACTTTTGAAAACACTTTTGCTGATAATTTACTCACCCCCATGTCATCCAAAATGTCCATGTCTTTCCTTCTTCAGTCGAAAAGAAATTAAGGTTTTTGATGAAAACATTCCAGCATTTTTCTCCATATAATGCACTTTACTGCTAACCAACGGTTCAAACTGCAACTGTTCAAAGGGCTTTAAACGATTCCAGACGACGAATAAGGGTCTTATCAAGCGAAACGATCGCTTATAAAGTTTATGTTTTATAAGCTCGCCTTGCTCTGTTCTGTGAATCTCCTACTTGAACTCGTTCATCAAAATGAACAAATCTTTTTCCGAGTCATTTGATTCATTCAACGATCGAAACGAACGAATTGACTCGGAAAAAGATTTGTTCATTGTGATGAACGAGTTCAAACAGGAGAGTCACGAACGTACACGCATTTGAGCTTATAAAACTTAAACTTTTTATTATCTTTTTAAATGAGCGATCGTTTCGCTTGATAAGACCCTTATTCATCGTCTGAAATCGTTTAAAGCTCTTTGCAGTTTGTACTAAAGTGTCAAAATCGTTAGAAAAAGAATGTTGTTCATTGAAAATATGATTCTCAAAGATATTTCACAAACAGTTGCTGCCACATTAAAATATATTTGCCACTCCTATCATTGCTCTGCAGTACTTTCCAGCTTAGGCCTAGTATTAAGGTAACAGGTAATTTCTGCCTGAAAAGGGCACATTTACTTCGGTACATCCTGATAAGTATATTCTGCTGACATTGTAATGTTAGCTGTAGCTCATCCTGACAAACAAGCACATTTTCTCAGGCAAGTGTGCCTGCTTAAACTATTGGTGGATCATTTTGTGGCTTGATCATTTCTGAATGATCGTTTTTTGATAGCGTTGCAGATTTAAATGTAAATGTTTCTAATGTTCACATCACTTCAAAAGAGTAATAGCTCTGACAGCCTCCCCATATTGCTAGTAATAATGATATCTCCTTTGGGTTCCTAAATATTAAAAAGATTAAATGACAGGTGGGAGACGTGCTCTACTTCAACATGGTATAACAAGGGGTGACTGTGAAAATACTATTACAAATATATATTTTAATATACTATATAAAAATATATACTTTAATAAACATCTTTACAATAAAGGTGCATAATTATGAATATGTGATAAATGGGAATTTTTTGAGACAGGCATCTTCAGGGCCCTATAAATGTGAATTATTAACGACCTGAGTTTTGTAGTGTGCTGTTGTCACCTGGTGGCTGAAAAGGAAACTACAGTATTATTTTGAGCGCTGTACAGTGATCATACATATTTAATGGTATTAAGCTAATTGCACCCACGTCAAATAACATGGCTAGTCACAAATTTTAATGTAATAGGCAGAACCATGGGGAAACAATGGAAATTAGGATAACTTATGTTTAAAATAAAGACACTTTATTAAGCGATTCACTTTGAGCAATTTTGGCCCTGTGGGGTTTCAGAAAAAAACAACAACATATAAAACACACATTCTCACAATTCGTCAACATTTCATAAGCATGATATTCCTCAAGTCATGAACACTTCCGCAACCATCTCACGTTATGCATTGTGTGTGCATGTTTATTTTGTATGTTAAACAAACATTTGTGGAATAAAAATGACCTGCTTGTGTAGGCTAACCCTAAATACACACGCTTGAATACTTTAATGTTTTGGCTATTTTTGACAAACCTACTTGTAAACGAAACAATAAAAATATACAGGTCATGAGTTTTTATTTGTCCCTTGATTTTCATGTTTTCTTCCACCACCAACGCCTCCGCAACATAGGCCTAACTAAGCCCTACGAAGTAGTGCATTTTTTGCCTTTTTGTTCAAGATTGTCTTAAAATGTGTTTTTTTTTTTTTTTTTTTTTTTTTTTGATGCAGAGGTAACGAAATCCATGTATAATACGAGAATGTATTTGTTATGTTTATAAAATAAGGAATACATGCAGTCCGCAGTTTTTCCTCTTTGTCGCCATCTCTGTTCGAAATCTGCAATTGCAGTTATTCGCGGAATGATCGAGAAATCAACTTTACGTGAGATGGACTTCGACACGGTGACGGCACAGCGCGGATGAACACAATGTTTGAGGAGAATGTGAGGCGGTCCGTCACCGCACGTGTCGATACTGGCATTCAGAATCACAGATTATTATTTTTGGAAGTATGACTAATAATTTTCATCGGAAAATATCATCTGAACAAGTAAGTAAACATCTACTTTTGTTTTTGGTTCTGACATTGCAGTAAATGCCGCGGATTAAATATACAAATCGCGTATCATCATGCAAAACCGTGCAAATGATCATTTTCTTCTCAAATTGTTAATGTTAACAACGTACGCAAGCATTGCGTGATAACATCTAATGTCCTTTCGATATTATCTTTGTTTTCACATGGGTCCAGTTGTAGTCTCTTTTTTCTGTAACTTAGCCTACGAAATCCAAACAGAAAAAGTAATTAGCATTTTACAGCGGGTGAATCTGTCGTCACTGGTGATTGTCGTTGGTAGCTACCTGGATCCGCCATCAAATTGAGTTTAATTATATCAAGTGATCATCACATGGAACAATAAGGATACAGCATTTATTTTACAACTGATTCGAAAACAATCTTGTATTAGTTAGCTTTTAACTCACAGGGCAGATTTTATATCCTATTTAGATTCCGAGGGATTTTTTTTTTTTACTGAAATATAAAATTCATATAAATTTTCAATGTCATGTACATTCTCTCTGATGATTGGAATGATTGGAAGCTTTTCTGTAGATCGACAACAAAAAAATAAGTGTAAAATCAGAGCTCTCTGCCAGAGAGAGGTCAAGTTATAACAAGCAAAATGCATCTTTGTAACGTTAGGCCCTATCTCTAAATTCGTCGCGGTTCCTATCTCCATAAATATCTAATGAATTTGAACTGTAAGGAACAGCAACTATAATGCTTCGCTTCGTACTGTTTTAATTACACTTTTTATTAAATGAAATATGTAACATGTTTTATATATGGATTTGTTTCCAATAAGGAGTTGGTGGCCTGGAGAGCTGGGTGGGTAACGTTAGGGCGAGGTGGGATGAGGTAGAGCTTTGCTCTCGAGTGCCCCTTCGAAAACGAGATGTTTCATCTCAAGGGGTTATCCTCAACAATAAAATTCAATTCAAAACTAAATAATTGGAGGATGCGGGCATCGATCCCGCTACCTCTCGCATGCTAAGCGAGCGCTCTACCATCTGAGCTAATCCCCCTGCTAACCAGTGATTAGACGGAATGATATCTGTGTGACACCTGATAGCGTTCACGGGTGTTACATTCCGGCGGAAGTGAGTAGAACGAGCGCGCGGCCTGTTTCGCAAAGGCGAAAATGTCGAGCGGGGTGGGAAGTAAGTGGTATTTATTTCATAAATAGATTAACATTACAGTCTGAAACCAAAAGCACTTTGTAAATTGAATTCTGAAGTATTTGGTAATACGTGCAAAGAGCATCTAAAGCTTATAATAACGCCGGCGTGAGCAATATTGTTGCGCTAGTTGGATTCATGATAACAAAGAAAGACGATAAGGTTTTATGTTTACACTTCTCTCTATTTTTGAACAAAATGTACTATTTTACCTGCTCTATATGTAATAAACGGTTTGTGTCGTTTTAAATAAGTCGCAATATAACATGAGTGATTAGCCTTTTATATTGTAAACAAAAAATGTCCCTACACTTTTGTTATAAATTGATCTACAGCTAAATTAAACTCATCATTTGAACCCCTAACTGTCCCTGTAGAACACAAGATGCTGTCGCTGGGTCCGACGGAACCCTGGTCTATTCGGGAGAAACTCTGTCTCGCCTCCTCAGTGATGAGAAGCGGAGATCAGAACTGGTAAGAATAAATGAAGAGTTCAGATGCAAAAGCCTCTAAGTGCCATTTGAAATGTTCTTCTAAAATTATCATTTTTATCAAGCTTGTATATTTAATTTCAGTAATTTCACTTAAATGACAATGAAGATTACCTATTAATTGTCATTTAAGTGAAATTACTGAAATTAAATACACAAGCTTGATAAACATGGTCATTCTAGAACAAAATTTCAAATGGCACTTAGAGGCTTTTGCATCTGAACTCTTCAAGTAATCATCACACATGATCATAGAACTGTAATGCTAGAATTGAAGCGTCTTAACTGCGGCTGGTCACCCTTAACTAAACGTGGGGCTTTTAGTTTTAGAAATGATTGTGGGGCAGTTATGTTAATTTTTATGATTAAGGCATAGACATGTTTCATCTCAAGGGGTT